ACTATCAGCGCAATAGGATTGCATTGCAGTACTTTCTGCGTGCCTGTTTGAAGCCATTATGACGCCCTTCAGGTCAACTGTCTCTATTGAAGCTCTTGGAATCCCAAAAGCTCTAAATGAACAAAACACCCCTCAGCCTCATTCAAAAGTACCACTCAAAAGTGAACCAGTGAAAGGCTGCAATTGGAACTTCCAGATTAGCACAAGGTACCAGCGCAATAGGATGTGATATCGTTTCATGTTTATTGAAACTAGTGTGGCCTGGTTGGTGCTACTTGACCGTCCTTCGTTCTATGCCCAAAAGCCAAAACACCCTGGAAAGACGATTTGAAGACGATTTTGTTTGTTGAACCTGGTGACATTTCTACACACCCTTATCCAAAACACAACAAAGCTGTGGAAACACTTGCAAAGCGCCCTTATCCTCGCTTCTTCCAAGGCCACGGTCCTTTGAAATCCAAAGTGAAATCCAACCTCGAGCAGGAACGCCTTCAACAAGACCCTGTAAATCAATAAATTTATGCCCTTCAGTCCCGGGATTCTTCAAAATTGAGTTCCAAAGAACTCTAACTACTATCCGAAAGCTCCTCTCAACCGCCTGGAACGTTTCTCTTTCCGTTTGAGCCTTGCAATGCACGGGTTTTGCGTGGCGGGTTCCTCACTCCGCGTTTTTGCAGTCGTTTCCGGTCCCTTGGCTAACTGAACTCTCCGGAAAGAAGCTCCGTTCGACCTCAGAGACCTCCGTTTTCGAAGTGCAAAATCTCCAGGTGAGAAGGGCGAGAAGTTCAAGTTGACATTTATTTGTATGATTGCCATGTAAAACAACATACTTTGGTCTCTACCCTCCATGGGTGCGTGTAAGCGTGAACAAAGTGAGCTTTGCAGCAGGACCCTGAGCAAATCCGAACAGTCCTGGATTCCATGGTTCACACGTCATGGAAGCGACAACGTTGGATGCTTGAGCAATCACCAGCAGTGTTTTCAATGGTGTCCCTCTATAGCATCTATAGCATTCTGAAGCCTTTAGTGGGCATTGTTCACGCGATCCATAAACTGACAGGGTTTATGCGGGTCGATAGATTCTGCGACAGGAAACGATAGGTGGGAACCATGGAAGTGACGACAACGATCCCATGGCATTGAACCGGTCCCACGCCATCCCCCCTGTGCAGGATCACCAGGCGAACAATGGCGCCGGACCCAGGATGTGCAGATGCGTTCGTCGCCAAATGGCAGTCGTCGTTGCAGCCGGCGCCGCGTGGACATTGAGGCGCTACGGCTTTGCTCTTGGGAGCCTCAAACGGCCACGTGGACGTGGTCCGCGAACTCTTGGCCGCCGGCTGCGCCAAGGCGCGGCGACAGGGCGGCGAACGCTTCGGTCGCGGGGACACGGGTCGTTTCGAGTGGGTCCTGCAAGTTATCGTGGCTCCCATAGAGGGCGGCAGAGATGAAGGGGGACTTACTATAAGTGACTCATCTGAAAGAGATGGAAAGCATCAAAGCGATATAGTTTTGAGAGCCAAAAGCTCGTAAGATGCTCGTAAGTGAGCCAGACCTTTACTTTTTTCGGGATTCACTCAGACGAACATGCAGCATGCAACCTCTATATAAATTGGGTGTGGGAAGTTTCTGCGTGAAGAATAGAGCGCTGAACTTCTTTCTGGGTCTTGCTTATAAATTTGTGTGTGTGCAACTCTTTGGGTTTTGCATGGGGAGTTTCTGGCGCAGTAAGTGAGTCAGACCTTTTTCAAGATTCATCTAGACACGTTTGCAAGGTGTGTCTGCGTGCAGAATAGAGCGCTATTTTTTGTTTATGGGTCAATTGTTTCTATTGCAGTGGTTTAAAAGTTCATCCAAGATTGCCATTGCATTGGGTGTGTTGAATGACAGGGAATCCATCAGAACGTCCGATCCCTGGACCCAGAACTTGTGAAGCACGAGGTATTTAGAACCTGATGACGAGCATGGGCCGTTTTCCGAGAGAACTCCCTAAGAAATGCGTGCGGTCACTTGGAGACTTCCCCACATTTTTCTGCGACATCATCAACCTGGAACCCAGCCGAGTTCAACGACTCTTCAACTCTTAAGCCGCTTCAGTCCCAAGATGTCCTAAAATGCATCAATTCCTTTGGATCCAACACTCTTGGCCATATAAGAGCAGCATACTATTCTTCCAGCGGTCTCTTGGATGGAGAAACAATATCCATCCTGGTGCTCGGTTTGCAGTTCGACCAGAAGCAAACCTTCCATGTTTGACGAGTAATGTAAGGTCTTTAGCGTCTATAACCTGTCAAGAGGCATTATTCATTATTCCGTTATTCACTTGGTCCATAAACTGACAGGGTTGATGCGGGTCGATAAAAACTGCAACAGGCAACAATGGGTGGGAACAATAGAAACAACATGGGTGCGAAAAATAGAGCGTGCTTGTTTGTTTCGGATTTGTATGGATTGGTATCAGGTCTTTTTGTATGCCAAGGACCAGAATTACACAGGAGACCATAAAAATGCGTCCCATCCTCGAAGACGTTTCAACCGAAAAGCCTTGCAACTTGTGATTGTTTTTGCGATCTCACAGGCCTGGGACCTCACCCAGAAGTTTGTTTAACAGAAAATGCTGTGTACAACGAGTCGAGATGGAGTTCAATGACTTCAAGGTTCCTTGGGTGAAAAAACTTCAAGGTTCATGGAGTTCAATGACTTGGGAAGCAATCCACCATGGCCTCAGTTTCAGTCCTTTCCCAACAAACCCTTCATTCTTGAGCCTTCAATAGTTGTAGTTCAATCCAGGTTATGCAAGGCCAAAATCCAACCACAACCCCGTCAATCTTCATAGTGCGTTTTTTCCACTCCGGAGCTCAACGACTCGACCACTCGAAGGTTCAATTGGAAAGGAAGTGCCTCCACACCATCGATTCCCGCACCCACGTTCAAATCAAGTATCAGGGGTGAAGGACCTAGCAGATCAACACAGGGAAATAAAACAGAGCATTTAACTTAACTGTACATGACACGTGTATATTGCACATGAAAGGAAGCACGCTTGAAGTTGGAAGATGCGTTGCCCGACACTCAAGGTGTGCTGCAAAATCCTGTACGGAAAGCCATCTACCAGTCTACCAGACATATTTTTGCCCAACTACGGCAACAACTTAGACTGCAGCATGTGCCCAGAGGTCAGGGCTACTAGCGGTTACTAGCGATGAATCAGCGCAAAATGCCCAACACGAAGCTTTGGACGTTCGTGAAACGAAGCAAAGGAGCTGCAAGCAGAGCCTTTCTTACGGAACAACAGTACCACTGAAAATGAACCGGAGAAAGGCCACGATCTGAACTGCCAGGTGAACGTGCCCAACCTTTTGATGACAAAATAACACACTTGTCTCAACGCTGATGCTGCTGATGCTCGTTAAAACCCACTTGTAGCCTCGTTGACACTTGAACGCCGTTCAGTCTCCAAAAGTCGAAAACCCTGTCAATCGCAGAAGGCCCAAGTTATACTCTCGAGACCCTGCAGGTCCACTACATCGTCAACCCCTGAACGAAAAAAAAACTCACATACCTTGGAGGCCCTTCAGTCCTAAGGTCCTTTAAGGTCCTTAAACCCTTCGAACCCCCCCAGCAGTAACGATTTCCATCACAAAGACATGTACCGTCAACGTTCTTCAGTCCCAACTCCACAATACTTTTAGTTGTTTGGACATGTGCAGTGGCGCGCCCACAAGTTTCAATACCTGTCAAGCTTGAGCTCCAAAGTATTTTTGATCCTGGTGCCCCGTATTTCCCCAAACGTTCTCTTGATTCTGTGTAATTGGGGCGTTTTTGCCGTCGTTTCCAGTCCCTTGGCCAACTGAACTCTCCAGAAAGAAGCTCCGTTCGACCTCCGAGAGCCCCTTTTCGAAGTGCAAAATCTCCAGGCGAGAAGGGCGAGAGGTTCAACCTGACATTCATTTATTTGACTACTACGATATGTAGAACAACATACTTTGGTCTCCCTCCATGGGTGCGTGTAAGCGTGAACATTTCTAAACACCCTTCATTCTAAGTCTAAAGGCAATTAAAGACCACCCTTCCAACCTCAAGCCTTTTGACCTCGAAAAGACCCTTGCGCCACTTCAGGTCGCCGATCTTTTTGAATCTTCAAACCGTTTGAAGCCCAAATTCCTGAACGAAACAGCCCTGTAAATCAAAAAATACATGCCCTTCAGTGCTTCAGTCCCAAGATTCTTCAAACTTGAGATCCAAAGAGCTCTAACTATCCGAAAGCCCCTCTCAACCGCCTTGAACGTGTCTCTTTTTCGGTTCGCGAGTTCTTTTCGTTGGTGGGTTTCTCACACCGCATTTTTGGAGTCCTTTCCGGTCCCTTGGCCAACTGAACTCTCCGGAAAGCTCCGTGCGAACTCAGAGACCCCCTTTTTCGAAGGTTCAATTATTTGACATTTCATGTTTGTTGACTGCTGGGCGGCAGCGACGCATCGTAGCCGGGAAACAACATGGGGCTTCTTCGAAGTGGGCACTACAAAAAGCACACTGAGCAAGTCCGGACATTGAGATTTGACACACCTTTGGGCCTTTTGGAGGTGACCCTTTACGCCTTGTCTCAGGACCAAGGTCAATGGTATAATAGAATTCTAACCTGATACCGTAGGGCCAAAGAGTGCTTTGACGGTGGCACTGGCAGAGCCGTAATATGAAAGTTATCGCTGCAATGTGAGATCCGCACGTGCTATTTTTTCATTTTTGTCTATCCACCTTGGCTGAAAGTGTTGCACTTTGTCGACGTTCCCCTGACTATGAAGATACTGCAGCCTGCAACCTTCATCTTGTTCTTTTCCCACTGTGCCGTCAGGAAATCAAATTAGGTGAAGGTGGTGGCCCTAGATGACCAGAGGATCATTGGCGCGCTTTCGGGGTCATGGAGGAGTGGGGGTATTTATATTTATTGGGAGCCCAGGAGCTAGGGAGTTCCCCAACCTAGCAAAATCTAGACCAGGCACGCAACTATTGCTAATCGGAAGTAGTGACCAAAGTCAGACGCGCTGAGGTGCTACAGCTTTGAACCTGGCATTTCAACATGGCCATGTGGAATTGGCGAATGAGCTGTTGGCCACAAGCTCCACCAAGGCGCAAACGGACGGAAATGTTCAAAAGGAGATTCTCTTCAGATCTTTGCTACGCTTAGGATGTAGCAAGAAGCAAGGTGGGACCTCGAAGTAAATGAAATGATTAAATATTAATATGTATATCTCCGAGTGTGTGTGTGTGTGTGTGTGTGGGCCCCGCATCGTCTCCATGAGACCCTATGTAAACTTGGCGACTTGGCATCAGAATGCTCTAAGTTGCACATTGCTTGGTTTGGCTCCCCTTGTGTCGTGCCTTTGGAAGGAGTAAACCATTCCTCGCGCTTTGTGTGCATTGAGGGATTGAGTTCATTGGTGGATCAAAGCTTCCCAGAACATACAAGCAGTTGTTGACAGCCAGCATAGTTTGTGGGCAGCCTCTTTGTTTTGATGTAGAGTGTTTCCTGGATGTTGCTTGTTTTTTGCAAAGAGGGTTTTTCGGATTCTACTTGTCTCCAGCTGCTGACCATGCGCTTTGCTCATTCCAAACCAAGGTCAGGGATTTGGGATGGTGGATGTCAGCTCCAGCACTAACACCAACACGAGGTGGAAAATGTGTTTTGGGTTTGCATCACCTCCCCTTCCAAACTATGTGGGACACAGTTGAGACGCACTCCACTCAACCTGCCTTCAGAATGCCTTCACCTCCCTGAAGAGCGTCAACAAACTCACCCGATTCCGAGGGCCTCAGAAACAGAATTACTCCCGGCATGCTTGCAGGACTGCTCGGGTGATGATGGTGTGGCGCTCAAGGAGGAATATAAGTGTATGGGATGTAGCTTGCTTCACCGGCTTGGTAGTAGAACGGCTGAAGATCTCTTCGAAGGGTCAGGTTAGTTTGAAATGGACAGAGACATGTGAGGTCCCACCTCGGCGAAAACGGGCTGGACGGCAGTGATGACTGCAGCGCGAGACGGTCAGCGCGAAGCGCTGCACCAGCTGTTGGCTGCTGGTGCTGACAAGGAGTGGATGCTGTTTCGGGAGGGGGGGCCTCAAGGTTCGGCTTCCACAAGAGGTTAGCTAGGTTTAAGGTCATTTGGGATTGTTGCCTACGGCCCATTCTGCAAAGGTTTGACCAAGAACACCCGAATTAAGATAAGGCAACCACATTCACCATAGATGATTTGAATATATGTTGTTAGAGTAGATGTTTTTGCTACTCTTTGCAAGTAGGCTTTGACCATGGCTGGCCATGGTTTTGAGTTCCTGCAAAAAATGAGGAACAGCAATGGAACAGCAGAGCAGGATGAAGGATAGACTCGTGTAGATAGATAAGCCTTCGCGGATTGTGGAATTAAGCGGAATAGTGCAGAGGTGGCAGGTGATGACACAATTTTGCAGTTGGAACAAGGCAGATCACAGGCTTGAACCGTGCGACAAGACTTTGCCTCCTGCTCACACCGACATGTCCAGGTTTGGTATGGCGATGAATGGGAATAATTGGTGTTCGCGACTTGTTCGACGTATCCTTTGGCTCTTTGAAAAGGCCCTGAGAACAGGGTGGAGCAAGGTATCCAACAAACAACACCTGTTGCAGGTATAGTTGACACATGCTTTCCACGTCTCAGCGATGCTTTTTCCCAGAACTCTGCTTCAGGACGGCCAGACAGACGAGGGCATTGTTCCCAGAGAGCAGGAGGTTTTGTGAAAAGCGACCGGTGACTGGTGTGCCGCTGCAATCAGATGCACAAGGAACACTTGTCAGCCCTCTAGGGATACTTAAATCGCTCAGGCTGGACGGCTTTCATGATCGCGGCTTTAAATGGCAAGTTGGATATAATTCGAGAATTGCTGGCGGCAGATGCCAGCAAGGCGTGGCTGTGGGGGAATTTGCGGGGTTTTGTGGAATTCGCTGGAACACTGAGAAGACTACTGCCACCAAAGAAATTCTAAGCAGGCATCTCCTCATCCCCCATACACCTTCATAGACCAAGTTGTTGCACGCAGGTGGGGGACCGATTTGAAGGCATCATCCTTCCGGGCTTCGATCTCCTAACGCCTTGACATGTCGGCCCATCCCAACTGGCCTCAACGGGGACCAAATACAATCAAATACATCTAAATACCACGATTGCATCTGCAACCGGGCAGCAGCCACCTGGCAGGAGAGCCAAAGTGATACCGGTGTCCAGCCCAGACAACACATGGGTTTGTGGGTTCTTTGCATGTGCTTTGCATATTGTTTTGACTGATGCATTTTGAGCTGGTGGTGTTGTCTATCTTGTGCAGCCAGCAGTTGAAAAATGCTGAGGCTTGACTGTTCTGATGATTGCTGCCCATGGCGGCCATCTCGAAATGGTGCATGAATTGCTGGCTGCTGGTGCCAGCCAGGCTTGCTGATGCAGTTTATGTGGCATTGCGTAGACCCAGATGTTCCAGAGATAGGATTTTGGAAGAATGTAGTCATAATGTAGTCACTCCAGATATTTGTCTACGCAAACCTTGGTGGAAGACGGTATATAAATGCGGCCCTGCAATATCACTGCCTCACCTCGATGCAACAGGACTGTCAGGACAACTTGGGTTGTGCTCCCAGAGGGCTGACGAGTTTTTCGAAGCTGGCCATGCGTACAAAGTTGGAATCAAGGATTCACCGTGTTCACCAATCCAACTTACTGAGGTGTCACAGCTTTGATCTGGGCTGCCCTGAGTGGTCAGTGCAAAGTGGTGCATGCACTGCTGGCTGCTGGTGCAAATAAGGCACGTTTCGTCGATGTTTGATTCACGGCGCTCTACATGGCAGGGCGATACACTTGTCAGTTGTTCCACAGACCTCTGACTACTGGCCGGACTAAAGCGGCTTATCCGGCGCATCGACTTGATCTGAATGCAACCCTGTGTGGTCTTGCCCACGTGCAGGACCACCAACAAAAGAGCGGCGCTGGGCCCAGACTGCAAAGTGAGTTCTTCGAACAGAATCATGCTTTGGGCCACCATCATGGGATTGAAGTAAGTATGTGCTCTTGGCAGAATACAGGTTGGTGCCAGCTTCTGTAGTCACCAACACTCGAACCTGGTGAGGCAACACGGCTCTAATTTGGGCAGCATCCAATGGCCATGTGGAAGTGGTGCGAGAATTGCTGAGTGCAGGTGCAAGCAAGGCGAGGTTGCATCGCATGTGTTACCAAGGGTTGCAAGAGCCTCAGCAGTGAATTTTTGGCAACTGGCGTGGCTTTAGTGCACCCAGCTGACTACATGAAAATGTTCCAAACATTTCAGAGGCCACAGTCTCTGGCCTCTGGCCGCGGCCCTGAACCCTGTGTTTGGGTGTTGTCCTCCTGTTGTCCTGTTCTTGTCCTCCAGTTGTCCTCCTGCTGTTCTCCCAGCGCGCTGGCGAAGCCTGTGCCTTCTCTTGTCCTCCTTCTGTCCTCCTGCTGTGTCATCCTCTCGTTCCCCAATCAGTTCAAGAAGGAAATGGCTGGCCATGATAGCTGTGGCCGCGCCGCTACGCTGCTGTGGGCCCAGCGTTGTCCTTGTTCAGGCATTGTTTGGGTCTGCCTGCCTTGCTTGTCAACGTGGTCGGCCCTTTTACCACCGCCTTGTCCAGGCCTTGTCCCGTGCTTGGCCACGCCCCTTGCCCTTTCTGCACGGGTATGTGTTCGATGTTTCATGTGGCTGTGAATGCAGCAGTGGTGCAGCGTTTCCAATTTGATATGATCACAGATATCCCTTCATTTTTGCACACGTCACCCGGGAATCAGGAACTATATGTTGTTTTCAAACAGTGCCATTCCCAACCAGCTGGAAGCTATAGGAACAAAATTACAGACGTTGCCACCAACATTGGAATGACAGGAGTTGACGCAAAACAAATGCTGAAACTATTTGGGGTGTATATGCTGACATAATACAAGTCCAAACGCGCCCGGATCAGCACGGTACGATACATCATTGCATTTCGCGAGAAACATCAAAATCATCACATAAACGTTACGCATCGCCAAAAAGAAACTCCAGCTTCATCAATCACATCAGATCACCTGCCACGAAGGCTAAAGCGATCAAGTGTCAGTGCACATGTTTCGACAAATCGCCACAAAAGCACCACCAGGCAACAGACCCATATCCGCAAACTGCAAGCTTCCGTCCAGGTTTCAAGTGATACCGTTAAATCAATCGCCTTAGCGTGTCCATTCTTGGTAAGTATTTCATGCATCATTTATGCATAATTATGATGCATAGTCCCAACACTGTTTCTTTGGAAATCAGAAGGGTTGCAGGCCGCACATGCAAGAATGAGTAACCGGAGTACGTGTCCTTCGTTGCATGCTTACATCATCACAGCAACTCGCAGGACCTCAAAACCAATGATGGCGCTTGGCTCAACAAGGTTTGTCAAAAGTCCCTCCTGGACGACTTTGGATCGTGTGCATTGCTCGCATGATTGTAAACAGACTGAAACAATCGAGACATACTTTGGCTGAACGCCCAAGGTCAAACGGCCCTTCAGCATGCGCAGGGCCGCGGGCACCACGAGGTCATCAAGATCCTCGAGGCGAGCTTGGCTGGCGCGTAGACCCGACAAAAGCTTCCAAGATCTTCTAAGTAATGTAGACGGCAAACAGGTTGCTGGACCAACAGGATCAGTCCAATGTTCACCATCATTGGTGGGCAACGCTGGTCATTTTGATTGACCATTCTATATACCTTCTCTTCCATCAGCAGGTCTTTGGGGTCTTTCGGTCCGATCACCCCTCACAGTTGCAGTACTGGACAGAGGGATTCGAGTTCTTTCTTTGCGCATCCAGACTGGGACCTGGGACAGTTAGACCTCCAGTCTTGCATTCGTTGACACGTCTCCGGAACGGTCTGGCAGACTCTTTGGAGATCGTTCCGGTGGTTCCGACATGAAACCACCTGCTTCCCAAACTGTTCCATCGTCATGTCGCAGGCCCCTCCAGAAGAGGCCGGGCAAATAGGAAGTGCGAAACTCTGGTGGTGCATGTTTCAGCTGTTAAAAGGTTATTGCATGTCAGCTACCTCACCCACCAATCAGAGACACCACAACCAAAAGTGAAGGTCGTAGATACGTTACTGGCAACTTGGCGGTGAGTGACTGTGTCCACAAGCTGAATTCATTGCCTGCTCAGTGTGAACGCTCCAGAAAGTACCTGTTTGGCAGGAACACGAAGATGATACTGGCGCTGCTCCAAGACTGTGGGGGACGAGAAGAAGCCCCCCCCTTGTTCAAACCGATGTCTTTTGTTCATTGCCTTGATTGATGGCTGCAGATAAAAGCGTCAACAACATGGGCACGTGTTGGTTCTTTACTTGAAAGTAGCTGTCATATCACGAAAGGTAGCGGTTACGCTACCTGAGTCGCCTTGCTTTAGCAATGTATTGGGGCTGGTCGCAGGCTCCTGTCCCTGAGTTCGGTGGTTTAAGAGTTGGTTTTAAATGTCGGG